ATACTCGATATATATTCAACTATTTATGAATATGAATAAATCAAATATAGATTAAATAAATTTTATCACTAGAAGATTTANAATCGACACGAAATTTCCTTGACACGACACATACTCAATAAATATAACTTATGCACGACACATACTCGATATATATTTAACTATTTATGAATATGAATAAATCAAATATAGATTAAATAAATTTTATCACTAGAAGATTTAAATACGATACAAAACCGAAAATATACCGTTAAGTTTGTTTGTTGTATTGAGAGAGATGGGTCTTACTAATCTCGAGGGATAGTTTAAGTGACAATAAGGACGAACTGTAAATTCAGACGTTTTAAATTTGAATTTTGACAATTTTTTGAGATCAGTCTATGAGGGATTTATCTTTCATAAATCTTCTAATTCTCACGTGGATGAATCTGCATTTGACCGAATCGGAGAGAAAATTAATCAAAATACACATAAGTTGATTCAAACCCTCGTAATCGTTTAAAACAANTCTGTTGTATTGAGTGAGATGGGTCTTACTAATCCCGAGGGATAGTTTAAGCGACAATAAGGACGAACTGTAAATTCAGACGTTTTAAATTTGAATTTTGACAATTTTTTGAGATCAGTCTATGAGAGATTTATTCTTCATAAATCTTCTAATTCTCACGTGGATGAATCTGTATTTGACCGAATCGGAAAAAAAATTAATCAAAATACACATAAGTTGATTCAAACCCTCGTAATCGTTTAAAACAAAAAAAGAAGAAATTGATCTTAATTGATTGGTATAAAAAAATATTCTATTCATAGTCATATTTGATTCTTTATTAATTTATGGCTAACGAGTGCTGCTACATTCAATTTGTGTTATGAATGCAATTGATATATAAATTAATTGTATTATATATTTTTTTATTAATTTTTATTTATAATTAATTTATTTATTAATAGTATCGACCCATTTATAAAATAAACGATTTAAGGGAGATGTAAACGTATCATATTTTTACGTTACAGGCGCTTGTGGTTGAGTGTGGGTTCGGCGTACGAGAGAGACGTTTCTTATTTCTCACCAAACCACGGCCGTTATAGATTAGGAGGAGGAATGAATGAGTGAGGTTTAAGTGGGTCCCTCCTCCCTCACACCACTCAATCAACTAAAACCGAACACGCACCGCATAAAACTCACCATTGTACGTTGTAAGTGCTTGTCGCGTGTCAAAGATTCCGCACACATTGTGCCGTTACAAAATGGGAGAAAAATGGCATTTTGAATCCGCGAAGTTTATCGTGTCGAATTCGTATGGTGAATAGTTTGTTTAAAGATTTTATTTATTTATTTAATTTTATAAAAAAATAGTTAATTTAATTATTATTAGAATTTTTCAAATTGACCCTAAATTTGTGACTTTATTATTTTTGTGTCCAGCTCATGTGTAGAATTGTCAAAGTTAAATTTTTCCCTAAATGTTGTTGTTTGGAAGGTAATTTTTTTAGGATAAATCTCATAAATGTCCCTTGATTTATGATATTTATTTTACATTGCCCCCTGAATTTTGTATTGTCCTAATTTATCCCCTAAATTATGTAATTTATTTCAATCGACTCCTTCTCTTAAAATTAAACTATTAAATGAGATAAATTAACCATCAATCTTAATTGAATCCCTCATTTAACGGTTAATTTTAACAAATTTTGTCTTATTTATCAACTAATCTTAACAAAAAGGGTTGATTGAAATAAATTACATAGTTTAGGGGACAAATTAAAATAATTAAAAATTCAAGAAACAATTTAAAACAAAAGCTATAGTTCAAGGACATTTATGAGATTTACTCCTTTTTTTTTTCATGACTTGGACCTGGTTTTTTAAATAGAAAAGAAACCAAAAAAATAAAATCCTAAACCTTCATTTTTTTAGGTTAGCAGATGGTTTAATAGTCACCGTCTCAATTGTTGAATCTTAAGGTCGTGTAAATTGAACATCGTTATTCCCTTTCTTGTAATAGTGTTTGATCAAAAATAATAATAATAAAAAAAGCCATCTTTTATTTTTTTGTTTTTTCTCTTTGGCTGACTATGAAAAAAATAAAAGGGTGTGAAAGAAAAGTATTCTTATTCAGAAAAGAAACAAAAAGGCAAACAGAACTTTTTTTTTATTTTTGGGGTTTGGAATAAACCATCCTTTTCACTTCTTTCTTATTCAATTTTTAAACACAATAGAAATAAAACACAAAAATTAGCCATTTTAAACCTTCATAATTTTATTTCTATCCGCGTTGGTACTTAAATATGCAAAATAGGCTATGATATATCCTCATTAAGATATTTTTCCTTGATCATAATATGAATCATATTACGTACACACGGGAACAAATCTTTCACTCACTGAGAAGTGAAAACCTTTAATTAGATCGTATTGAAGATAGATGCAACAGGAAAAAAAAAATGACATTTAAAAGCATCGTTGACCTACCATTGAAATTATGAGTTTTCCTATGTCCATCGACAGGGAATGAAATCCGAACTTGAGTGGCGTAGATGATAAGAGTGGTACTTTACTACCAAGATGGAGTTGTGATTCGAATTATGATTGATACTAACACCTCAGAAAGCAAGAAATGTCTTACCCACTCACCTACCTTATGTTTTTCTATGCAAAATTATCATTTGGCAGTGGACCATAGATAAAGTTTTGAAGCCAGGTTGTTAGATTTTGGAAACAAGCAATTGGTACAGATCAAGTGGTTTCTTTTCAAACCCAAAAAGAGAAGAACACAAAAAGAAATTTAAAAAAAAAAAAAAAGAAAAAAATATCAAATGCTGGCCAAATAGTCTGTAAGGTTTTTCTGTCGTCATATCAGACGAATGACAAGTCATAGTGATCCTTTTTCCCCCCTGCATTACTGCTATGATTTGATTACACAATCTCTAAGAACTAATTAAAAAACTCATTTGATCATAATTCATTTAATTTATTACAATTATTAGATTAATTGTGGATTTTAACAAATATTAAAATTTATTGTCAATGTAATAATTATAAACAATTAAATTAATAAATTAAATCTAAATAATTTGAGCTATTTTCTATTTTCTATTTTCTGTCCCCTCAATATTGAATGCCTCCCCTATCATTTCAGTTATGCAATGAAAAAGCCATTGTGACAAAGACCAATCATGTTGGACTCCATAAACTTGGTGTAAAGCAAAATCTTAAAAGTCTTTTTTTTTTATTATTTCAACGGTCAAATATGTTTGAGCTAATTTATGTGCACTTCGATTAATTTTTTCCTAGGTCTGATCAAAGAAAGATTATCTACGTTAAAACTAGGGTATTCACAAAAGATAAATCTCTCGTGACCTGATCTAAAAGAATTGCTAAGATTCAATATAACTTATTTCTATTACTACTGCTACTTATATTATCCATTGGACTTAAACAAATTTTGATACCATACTATTTATACATGACTAGAACCCACAGGACATTACCTATTACCACTTTATTTAGAATCTTAGTATATTTGAGAGGATTAAAACTTGGCTGATGGTACAACCTTAACTTGACTGGCCCAAGTACCCTGAAAAGAATTTCTTAAATGTGAAAGCATATGCTATGAATTATTTTATACAGCCACGTGCAGTGTTAGGTATGATAACCTTCCTGCTCTAATCATGCATCACTGGTTCTGGTTCTGGTTCAGGTTCAGGTTCAAAGACTATGGCCAGATATTAAGGAGTACAATATCATTAAATACTGGGTTAGGATATCAACCTCATTTTGTACTATTTTCTCTGCTAGCCATGAAAGTTTGAATGAAAGGTCCAACTTTTCCATTTGTGTTTGTGAATTATTTATTTAAGCAAAGAAAGCTAGTGGGCAGCATTGAACTCCTTTTCTCTTTCATGAATTAAGATGGGTGGGAGCACCATTTTTTGTAGGCCCCAATGTCACTACCATTGTATTTAAACATTCTAAGTAGACCACCCACACCAAAAAGGATGGAGAGCAGTTTTAGGGTTCTTGTAAGGGAATGGTTTTTCTTCTTTTATCCCATTTTTTAGGTATGAATAGGTAGATGATGATCATCACAATAACCAATCAATAATTACAACTTTGAGCAATGCATTTATAGCAGAGGAGAAACACCCACATAAGGTGAACAGAAGCCTGAAAGACTCGCATAGAACTCACTTTGCCTACTTGTGGTGACACCACGTAACGGTGATGACGTGGTATCGCCGTTGCATTGAATATTTTCTCCTCAAAGAGGCGGCATAATAAAACAACTCTTGCCTCTGGCAGAATTGACCTCTTAGTTAGTAGAATCTTGAAAGAATCAAAGGCTGCTAACCGGACGATGCCCAGTTGGTTTCCTTATTTTACCTTGTGCCCCTTCATCTTGAAGGAGATCTATGAAGAGCATATGCAAGGGATTTCAGCTCGTTGCAAACAGGCAGACTTGTGACAATATTGAAGCCTTGGGCCTCATTTCCAGAATAGAAGTAGCAGAGGACCCAATATATCTCTAATTGAGTATTGCCAATATCTCCTGCAAAGGCAGAAGGTTCAACCTACAGCACACTCTTAGCCAACCTAGGAGTAAACCATTAGTAAAGAATTAGTGGAGATGGACAGGCCTCCCCAAGGGTTGGGCTCACTAGTGCCAGCTGAGTCTACAGTGTTTGAGTCTCTTGATTAACCTGAGTTTACCCAATGTGCCAAACAAGAAAAAAGGAGATTTTTGGAGCATTCATGTGAGAATTTAAGGATTTGGAGCTAGAGTACAAAAATGAGGGTGCACCTTAGGGCTGCAGTAAGTTTGCTCCATTGTGACCTAAGTGTGACTACACACATTTGACCCTCTCCAAACTCCAATCTCACATCTTACACTCAGTTCTCCAATGTTAAAACACAATTACACAAGATTCAAACAAATGAAATGCATGAACATCATGAGTAGAAGCATATAAACAAGGTGGTTAATTTGTATGATATTGAAATGGTCAGCCCAGTAATTTACATTACGCAACATAATCTGCTATCTGGGATAAACAGGGTCACAAAATCCATTAACTCAAAGAACAAGAAGCCCTAGATCATCCGAAAAAAAGAGAGTACTCTACATACCCGAGAAGGAAATTACTCAGTATACCAATTAGAGTTGCAGGTGTTCTCATAATTATAACTTGTAGATGCAGGGAATAAAATTGTACAGCAAAATTCTGGACAAAAAACAGCGTTGAAAGTAGCAAACTTGCTTTGTTGCTACTCCAAATCCACGTAACTCATTAGATTTACATCACGAAACGTATTAAACCAATGCCCTAAGCATTTTTTAATTCACCAGACTGACTTCTACGTCTTTAGCATGTATTAGGATACACAAGTGAAAGGACACCGGTGGACTAATTCGGCCCCACAAATAGAATTTCCAAGTGACTGAGGGAGCTGAATATAGTAAGGCCACCTTCTATCTCAGTGATGCACAAATCATACAGATGGGAAATATTTGTTCAGATTGAAAGGCAAGGAGTAGAATTCCTCACTTCTTGTATCTGTCTTGAAGGACCGGAACTTGTCCCACCAATGCTTACCTCTGTCTTTCCTTATTGCACCATCCTTCTTGTGCAGTGTGTTGTCCAGGAAATATGCCAACACGCCCGCAACAAAAGCTTCTGATGAGAAAGGAACATTGACAATGTCGTTGAACTGCCCAAAAACAAAAAAGCATGAAATATTTGATCAAAAAAAATAAACATAAATTTAACCGAAACAAGAAGATAAAAAGAGAGCTCCAGGAGTTGTCATTGTTGTGCATACCCATCTCCCTTTTGTGTGGACGGGGCCACGCCCATTTATAGCCGTATACTCATTGAAGTACTGGGGCACAGACAAGCCCATAAAGATAGAGAAGCCTAATATGAACTTTGTTCGGAAGCTGTTGAGATTACAGAACTGAAGGAAACTTAAACCTCCCGAACCTGCATGGGCATTATTAAACAAAAGAAATCAACTACCTACAAGGACCAAATGAATTGGAGGTGAAGAATGTGCCCTTGCTAGCTTGCTACACCATTGATACGTACCCACATAAGCAAAGAACAGGCAATACAAAGCAGCAACTATTGGTGCTGGAATTGAAGCAAAGACTGCTCCAAATTTTCCTGTATGACAATTTAAATTCAATTGATAATCAAGAAAATATGTCATGAAAAAGTTATTTAACAGTCGTTAAAACCTCAAGTATGAAGAATTTACCAAGAATGGAAAAGAAGATCATGAAGCCAGCCGATATTTGTACAACTCGTCGACTGCCAACACGAGTCAATGCTAAAAGGCCAGCATTCTCACTGCAAAGAAACCAAGTCATTAGGAACTTCCATAGTAATTATTGCAAAATAAAGATGAGAATCCAGCAGAAAGGTGGTGATTGTGTCTTACACAGATACAGAAGATCCATTTCCAGTTCCAAACAACCCAGACAACAAAATGCCAATTCCCTGAGGATAAAAAAAAATATTAACTCACAATGTACAGAATTCTATGATGATCTGAAATTCTGAATCAAAGAATTCCGCAAAAGATGACCGTAGTTGGAAATGTTTTATACATGGAACATTTTAAGGATGAGCAATTACACTACCCACGAACATCCAGCAGGCACTCGTACGTGAGTGCATGAGAGACAGAGAGTCTTTTTTTCCTTCATATTTTAAACCCACATACTCGTTAAAGTGACCAAGAAAATATTGTTATCATCTTTAATGTTTTCTTCTCCACTTTTTTGCACCATTATTTTTATGTGCAAAACAAATCATCATTTTCAACTTTACGTTAATCAACTTTTATACTTACACGCACACATACTGTCTAGCAATATAACTGGTAGTCTAGATTGTTCCAGAACAGATGGTTGCCCCCTTTAATTTTTTCCTTTCTCTTCTATTTCTTTAGCTGTGTGCGATTAATCAACCCACACTACATAAGCTGGGCACAAAAGTGGTAGGAACAGTATCGAGTACCCCCATCTCTTGTTTTCAGTCATTATTATCCTCTCTGACTGTGGCAGCAGGCATATACAGGCAGTGATGCTACTTGTTACCATATCAATCACATAGCCCCTCAACTATGAGTTTTATAAATGTAAGTGAAACAGAAATACTATCAATATCGAAATTTCAGTTTATGGAATTATTTCTTCTTGTGCTTTTGCTTGTGTACACACGCATGTGTAAACTTCCATCGTGAGTATTACTGAGAACATAGAAAGTCAAAAGACATAATCTAATCACATGAAGATGCACAGAACAATCTGGTTCAGTAACCTTCGATGGTTAAGTTTGATCATAAAATTAATAAAGCAAACAAAATGCATTTAATTCACCTGCCAACCCACACCACGGCTGAGAATAGATGGTGGCAGCGGAGTTGCACTTGCATATCTTGCCACCGCAATAAAGGCACCGGTAGACTGCATAAACCATTAAAACATGAAGGAAAACATGTTAGTTTTGAAACATGATTATTAATTAAACCTTGCCAATTTAAGATCGTTTTGGTAGGATAGATGGAAAAGTGAAAGAAAGGAAAGTGGGAGGCAAATATTTTTCTATTCTCAAAGCAAGTAACTAAATTTCACCAACGGGCCTTTGGTCCAATGGTACTCCTTACCTTGTAAAGGCTTTGTCTTCTAGAAATCAAGGGTTCAAGTCCCCTCCCCTCCCTCCAAAAAAAAAACTAAATTTCCTTTTCAACTGGTCAAAATGGTCTCGTTGAAACGAAAGAAGGATTGAATGTCAAAATTCCTATATTTAGAGGTGTTTCAATATATTTTGACATGTTTCGGTATGTTTCACAAAAAAATTTCCAAACTTCTTCCTTTTCTATAATGTTTTCTAAAACGTTTCTGTTTCCGTTTTCATTTCCAAACTGATCGAAACTATGTACCGAAATAAAATTTTAATCTATCTAAGAAGAAAGAAACCTTTCATCCTTTCCCTCTTTTGTCTTTGGTAGGAAGAACATAAAGTTGGACGGAAAAAATTTTATATTTGGTATGGATAAAAAAGTGAAAAGGGAAAAAAATACACATGCATATTTCACTGTTAAATTCCTTAGACGAAATCAACTTATCTATAATATCCAGTAGACCAATAAAATATATGTGGATATTGAGGGATATACGAGCAAATAATCTTACATTTTAATTCAAATGAAAATCTTTCCTTCCACTTTTTTGCCCAATTCAGGGGGATAGATTTTGGTGGGTTGAAAGAACTAATCAAACATAATGTTTTATCCATCCCTCATATTTCCTCCTTTATACTTTTTCATTTCTCCAATTTTCCATCATACCAAAAGAACCGTTAATGTAAAACACAAATCTTATGCAACAACACTCTTAAAAGCAATTAAATGCATGCCTGTCCTAAACAAATATAGATAGTCATTTAACTTTGAAGATGTTTCCATGTTGTATGAATCGATTTTGTTTAATTCCTCCTCGAGAACACATCATAATAGTATGAAGGGATTGATTACATAAAAGAAGGCAAAAAATAAATAACTATGCAAACTGCAAAGTCAATAGTAAATATAAACATAAGCAGGGAGGCATAAACCCAACTATGAAGATAATGGTAGGAACATTAAGCACTACTAAAATGTGAAGGACTTCCCATTTGGCCACTAGTTTACAAGCACTGAGAGATGAAAACAAACCTCCACAAGAGCAACAAATGCAGCCATCATCATCGCAAAGGCTTCACCAGCATCAAATGAAGGTGCTCCCCATTGAAAGGGATATGGAACTCTTATCCTGCAGATGCAAATCCCAGCAAAACTATAACGGCTATTCTCACGCACATGTCATCATGCAACACCTAAGCGACGTTCTACATTATCACACCAAATCGAACCTTTATCCCAAAACAACACCTCAAGCTTGATGTTACTCAACAACACATATCATCTGAGAGAATCTGTGGACCGAAGAGAAAGTAAACACTTCAAGAAAAGAAAGAAAATGTATTGTTCACTACACAGAATCAGAATACGCAAGCACTAGCTTTCTCCCAGTTGAACTCGATTACCAGTTGCATGAAAGCAACTTTCTCATCCATATAGTCATCAACGCAGACAGCCAGAGTTCCTACAAAATCAATGTGCGTATATTTTCCAATCTAACTATTTATGACCATTTGTTTAATTTCTTCTTTGACATTCAATTAATTGCAATGGCCCATTCTCGAGTAATCCAAAAACAACTCATAAAGAAATATCAGTGAACAATCTAGGCTTGAGAATAAAAGATAATAGCCACTAATAATTTTCTTTTTCTTTTTCTTTTTACGGATAAATAAGAATCCGCTAGAGAGTTCCAAATGAAGGGGTGCAAGAATAACCCCAGTATATGTGGCATACAACCAAACAACTCTAACAAAATTGATACCTGAAAGATGCAACATTTTGTAGTTAATTCATCAAATTAATACATAAAAGCAGAAAAAATACCAAATTGGGTAACCATTATCATCAACAGCTCGTGCTTACCATGGAGCAGCATCAATAAGACCAGCACGATCAGTACGGCAGCTTACTTGTGTCTTTGGTGCCTTTCCATTATAAGCCCCACCAACAGTAAGTAGATGAGCATAAATCCATACAATCACCACAGAGAATATAACAGCAAAACGAGCAAATATATGTTTTCCTGAGTGTATCAGATGGGGCAGATACTGCAAATAAGCAACGAAAGTGAAGATAAATAATAAATGATGTCTAAATCTTGTGAATTTTATGGAAAGAAATAAGTGTAATATCGTGATACAATAAAGTTTACCACCTGAGAGAGAAAAATCAATATGATGAGCTGTGGCAGCCCAATTTCAACACATCTGGCAACCTGAATAACCAAGGCAAGAGTTCAAATCCAAATGTTTAGAGGGCAAATAAGCGGGCATTATAATAGCATCAAAGTCATAATCCACAGTAAACACGGTAAAGCTATATGGCCGTGATTTGTCATTACATGCGACTATCTCCAAATTGAAGATACAGATCAAGAAATTGAATTTCAATACATACCCCTGGAAAACCAAACTTGTAGAGCCCAAAACCAGCAAGAGCAACCAAAGGAACGGCAGAAAGTGGACTCAAAAACCTGAGAACATTCGTATATAGGAAATTAAAACATTAATCAACATGGTTTTCAGAAACTTCTATGAGAAAATGACTAAAGACAACATATTTAAACTTCACCAACACATTCAGTATACATTAGAGCCAACACTGGACAGCATTCGTATCAACAAGAGGAACCAAATTTATTAATCTAAGCTTAAGAAATCACACTGACTAAATGATCTGAATAAAACATAGCATGTCCAACTAAAAAACATCCAACTATATGATCTTCAGAATGAATTCATAAAAATGACAGGCTCAAAAATGTGCATCCCATTACAATTACAGAAACAATAACAATCCAAATTGTCCAAGCATTACTCAAATTTATTGAATGTATAACATTCAGAAATCTGAACCAACCTTGTAACATTACGCCAGAGGCCACTGAAACCTAAGACTATCTGAATAGTTGAAGCAACAATGAGTGCTCCCTGGGTTGCCCGCATTATCTTCTTGAATCTCTGAATTGCCATAAAACTGATTGCAACTTTAGAATCAAATCTCAGTAAGATCAATGAAATATTGGATGCGTGAATTCTCCTCCTTTTACGAGTAAAAGAAAATTTGGGTAGCCCTATGTTTCGCCAAAATAATTGCTCAACAAGAGTTTTGTTTAGATGAAATTTGGCAATAAACAAAAACTATCACATAGGCCATTGATTCTGAGCCTTAAACAAACAAATTTTAGATTTCAACTAACAGAATAAATATGCAGTATTATTTAAAATGTGTATCTGGAACATAATTAACAAAGCCATTAATCGTATCCATTTTTTGTTTATCAAGCATTAAGCCACATAAAATTGTGTGCCATCTCAAAACCAGAAAATATTACGGGAGGGAATTTAGATCACGAACCGATACAGGGTCTTGGTCACTCCATCGACCAGACAGGATAATCGATATTGTGGGTGCAACAAAGGTATATGATCCTCCAATCACAGCAGGTAATCTAGTCCCAAACACCGACTGCAACAGGGTGTTCAGCCCAGCAACAAAAAGTAAAGTCTGGATGACTTTTGCTTTCTCCTCCTGGAAGAATGGCTCAAGTGGTTTGATTAGAATAGGGAACGATATCATCTAATACAATACCAATTTCAAATGGAAGTAAACTACATATTTGCATGCTCAGGACTCACATTTCTTCCTCCCATTTGAGGAACAAGAGCCGTAGGAATGATAACTGTTGTGCCAAGCATCACTAAATAATGCTGAAATCCAAGGAGGATAGCCTCAGCTGCATCAGAAATTACCCCACAATGTTAAAGGAATTGGACCAAAACAATTGATGCAAAACAAATGAGCATGCAACTACGTTTGTGTGCTTGTGCACGTTGGATGAAATTCAATTATACAATTACATACAGAAAACTCAAAGATGGTCCACCAAAAGTAAAGAAGTATTCTGAATTATTATGTAATTTTTCCGGAATAAAGAAATTGTAGATAGACACAATATCTTACATTCAAAAGGTTCAGGTTTGCCAACCCAAATGGTCTTTTAACAAAATCGTACTAGATGGTGTGGGTTTTACCATATGCCAATTACCCCCACATAGACCGAAAATCCATAGATACCGCAACAAACTCAAGTTCAAAGATTCCCCAACACAGTACATTAAAAAAGAAAATTTTCAATTAATGGTACCATAATTCATGACTATTTGTCCATGACTAGTTTGTGTTTTTTTTTCCTCTGACGAAATATAGTTTACTTTAAAAATTAAAATATGCTACATAAAACAGTCACATCGAGAATATTTGAAGCAATTAATAAAAGGAATAACAAACTTTAATGAGAAAAGAAAGCAAATGGATTCTTCTGAAACAGAACCCACAG